CGGCTTCGGCTTGACGTATCTTCCCAACATACCACCCGATAGGAATACCACGCAGGCGCACAAGAAGACGATTGTGATGAAGAGGAAAGCAACAAAGAAGGAGCACTCTTGCACAAGGATGGGGGAGACGATACCACCAATAATACTACCAACATTGATGGTAGCATAGAAATAGGTGTAATACCTCGTGATAAGGTCCTTATGGTGCTCAGGGTGAAACTGCTGAGCCCCCATGATGTTCACACAACTCTTGATACCACCAGCACCGAGTGCGATAAGGAAAAGTAGTGCCACATCAATCATCCATTGTTCAGAGATAGACTCGATTGCTGATAGCGTCAGTAGAACCAACCCACATGCATAGATCAGCGAAAATATGACGATCGTGACGTATAGACCGAGGATGGTATCGGACAAGGCGGCCGACACTAGGGGGGTCAAATAAATGATCGAATTGAAAATAGAAATATAAGAGTTGGCTCCGCTATCATCCATACCAGCAAACTCCTTCAAGAAGGTCTGCAAGTTGGGCGTGAGACCATAGTATGCTAATCGTTCACAAAGCTCCTGGCCCAAGATGAAGATGACAGACTTCAAGAAGGGATGCTCATAGTACGAGTAAGTATTCCCAGAGGCATCAGTCCATGACAGAGGCTTGCTGCTTTGTTCTGACGAAAACCGAGGCATCCAACGAGGAACCGAGAAACTTAAAAAACCAAGTAAGATGAATTTTCTATCCACACCAAGTATCCCTACAGCTCTAGCGTTGACCCGTTGTGCCGACGCTGTTGACTAACTTCACATTGGACGCTAGCAACAACACCATACACATAGTCAAATCTAAATCCTTACTCTCAAAGTTGGGACTTCCACCAACCCGAATTACAACGCACATGTTTTATACAATTCAACGCAAGGCTCAAGAATGAAAAGCAAGGTTGTAAATTCCACATTTGCCGACTAGATACATGTCTATCCTAGCTAGCAAACAAAGAATTCAAACATTAAAATAACATCGCGCGCGCCATCCTGATCGATACGAAACAAGCTAGTCTATAGAGTAGCAAGATACTACACCAGCGTTGTAATATATGATCGCTTTCCTCAGTTGGCCCTAGGAGTTTTCTCACTAACTAGGGGAG